CTCACTGAACACTTAATGTGGTACACCTTGCTACTACATCTTTGGCTTCAAACTGCCTTAATCCTTATGGCATTCATTCAGCAACAGTGTCCTCTCTTGTGCACTGTCCAAATCAATGGACGGTGCACGAGAGAGGCGGAGAAGAGAGTGCAGGCAGGGTGGAGTAGGTGGAGATGAATGGCACGGGTGATTTGTAACAGAAGGATAGCAGCAAATGTCAAAGGGAAGATTTACAAGATGGTAGTGAGACCTGCTGTGATGTATGGCTTGAAGACATTGGCAATAACAAAAAGACTGGAGGTGGCAGAGACAGCAGGGACAGCTCAGGTTGAGTAGTTTTAAGACACATGCAGAGGAAGGATAGTGGATATATTGGACAAGTGTAGGTGCTGAATCACCACCACATCCCAAACATGCTCTATTGGATTGAGGTGTGTGGAGGTCGTTTCATGTTCAGGTTGAGAGCTTTGTGATATGACATGTTTTTCTACTTGAAGCAGTCATTAGTCTTTTGGTTTTATGCAAGAATTTTCAAGTCTCTTATCAACTATCATGAGAAATTATAAGAGAGAGCTTTTTCTGGGTGACTTCAACTTTCATGTCTGTTATGCCTTATTCTCTGTATTTGCTTCTGACTTTATCAAAATTTTGGAGTCTTTCAGTCTGAATCAACATGTGGAGCACCGTCATATATATGTGCATGATTGTAAGCTTAATGGACTTTGTTGTCTCAGACCACAATGCTGTGCTGCTCCAGATCCAACCCATCTACAGTGATTCGCTCCCAAGCACTAAAATGTAGCTTTGTTGCTCATTTTTGTATAATTTTCCGCATTTACGCAACAGCTTTCATAAGCAGCAAATGTGATGTCGCTGTGGATGTCTTTGTAGGCACTTTTAATAGCTTATGCTCGAAATTTCTGAATACTGTAGCTTGAAAACTGAAAACTGCTACATTTTCTTGGTTTCCTTGGTTTAAAGAGGCAATGCAGAAACGCTGAGAGAAAATGGAAAAAGGACAAACTACATGTTTCCCTCAAGAAGCTGATGTTCATCTACCAGCTGAAATTCAAAGAAGTGAGATCCTGTCACAACTTAATACAATCCCATAATACTTCTTAATTCAATAAAATCTGTTACTTTTTCCTATCCTGTCGAATCTTCTGACAAGACTTAGCTTTGGTGTCCAGCACCCAGGTTAAAGGCACAAGTATAGGTTTGCTGTGGTTGCTAGCAGATTTCCACTGTTGCTTCTACTTTTTAACGTTTCCCTCTAAGCAGTCTCTAGCTACTAGCCAAGCGGTATTAAAAATGTGACACAAACTGGAAATGGAGAAGGTCTGCCTTCAAAGTAAAAGTTGCACTTTAAAAAAAACACATTGGCTGCAACTGAGTCGCAACTTTTTGAAGGTGTATGGTTTCCACTTTCAGTTTGTGTCACCCTTTTTACAGCTTCACTACAAGTGTTTGTACACAAGCTCATTACTTCCTTCTAAACTATGGCCTCGGCAATCAGCTAGCAACCCAAGCAATCACAAGTAGGTTTTTGCCAACCTTTTAGGGAATGCACAACTTTGTTAAGATTAGTAGTCATCAGATGCTCACGGACCAGTCTCTATGTTTGTGTGACTGAGGCCTTATTCACCCGATCTTGCATCGTCACCATGATTCAAAATAGTAGACAAGCTAACATCATGTGGTTAGTTGGTTATGCATATGCAAACCTGAACAAATGGTATGGAGCTATAGCAGCAGTTTTTTGCAGCTTGTTTTTTTGCTCAGGCCTGATTGTGTGTGTCCATTTTTAGCGCAAGTGGTCACCAGATAGTTGGGCGAGCTGAAGGGAGCAAGTGTGATTGATTGAGTGAATGACTGAGTCCGACTGAGTTTGAAGGAGTACGTGCACACTAGAAGCCACTAATAAAGTATTAGCAGGACAAGCAATTTGCTTCTTAGCCAGGCTCCTTGGCATGAAAAGATGGACTTTTACAATAATGAGAGAAGCAGAAGAGGCAGTGGAAATGAACTCTTATCTCAACTAAAAGAGGAAAAGAGGCAGACTTAAATGGCATAATATATCAGCATAGCACAGGGGGGTAGAGAGAGATAAATAGAGACAGAGAGAGAGGAAAAGCTGATTATTCACACATTAGCCCTTTTTAACCTCTAGTTAGGATGAACCAATTATACTATGGAGACAGCGATGGTAACAGAGCACCTGAAAACACATAGCTGATCAACAGGGCCTAAGTTACAGCTCATTATCATGATGACAATTAAAAGGTATAAGTGTGAGAAGTCAATCACACTGATATATGAAGCCTATGTATTCCTTACATGGGAAGCATGAACGTGAACATCATCACAATCAAAAATCAAGCTCTGCTTCACTGATGATAAATGTGAGCCTGGTTTTACTCAGACACCTGTATATTTAAACGTGTTAACCACTGCTGAGCCTCAAAATGTACTGATCGTGCTGCAAACACAGTTGGGTGCTGTTGGTACTGTATTACTTACGCACTAACATACCTCAGCATTCAACTCGTGGCCAAGACTACAAGTTAGCAAGACTACAGTTGCTGGCAGTTCTGTGAAGCTGTGGAAACTGTTTAGCATGTGAAGATGTTTACTTTTGGGTATGTTGCTTTTGTGACTGAAATTATACAATAAGTCATATCATTTTCTGATTTGTCTCTGACCATGTGGGGTGAATAAAGTAATGCAGATGTTACCCTTGTGATTATTTTACATCGTACATCCTCAGCATTATGCTAACTTGCTACATTTCTCTTTCATTAGAAAGACTGTGATCCTCAAGCCTTTCTGGCTTTGTTTTCTTACACAGCCTTCTGTTAGCTCACTCCAAGAATAGGCTGGACTCTCACTCTGTATTTTTGTTTTAGTATATTTTATCTGTGCTCTGTGCTTTAAATTTTGATGCGCTGAGGGACTGTAGAGTGGTGGGAGGGCTGGCCCAGAACAAACACTGGAAGTGACTCAGATGAGCTGGATGCAAGCCTGCATTCAGCAGAGGACCACAGGCATCTTCATAAAGCCATCTCACCAGATACTGAATGACTGGCACTACAGAAAGCCATGAAGGAGAGAAGGGACAAGGAAGTTTTGTCCGGTGTAGAAGACGAAAAAGCCCCAAAATGTGCTGCTGAATCTTGCTGCTACTTGCATTCCTTTGAAAATGATCAAGTTTCAAGAGCTGGTGCAGAGAATTGGTGTTTATTTTAAACTCTGTGCTAGTAAAGCACATGATCACCTTATTCTGTGCTCTCAAAGTAAATGTAACTGGATTCTACATGAGCCTGTGAGTATAGTTTTACAACTAATATATTGTGTGGATTGTTCATAATGGAAACTTTACCTTCTTCATCTGCAGGGAAATTAAATTTTGGAGATTTCATTCTCATATGCAAAAGTAATGCTCCGTGATGTTTCATTTGTCTCACAGACAACAAATGTATTGTTGATTAATTACCTACAATGAAGCACTGTATCTCATTAGATGTGGAATTTGCTGACTAGCTGGTATCTGATCTTTAAGTCCATCTGGGAGCAATATATCAGCGCTACACTAATAGCCCACTATGCATCGCTTTGGAACTTTTTCTGCATGAAACACAAATTTCATTTGCAGTCAAATGAAATGGAAATCTCTGAAAGTCAAAATGAAAAAAGATGAAAGGTATGAGCAGCCTGTGAGATTGTGTATCCTTGTAATATTTCAGTGATGCTAACTTTATTGTTGATCGTCATGGCAAGGATAGATGAGAGAAGCTGGCAGGGAAAGGTCATTTTTCATGTCACTCTTTATCCTCTCCCCTCTCGTACTTCCTCGCTGTCTTTCTTTTGTCTCCCTCTTTTTTTCTGCCAACTTTGCAAATGTAAGGCTTCGCCCTCTCTCGTTTTCCCCCCATCATTCCTCCTCCACCCCTCTCCCACCTTCTCCTCCCTCCTTCTCCTCCTCCTTGCATCTCCCTCTATCTCTGTCATCATCTCACCCCTCTTGCTCCATCTCTCCTCTCTCTCTCTCTCACCACGCTCACCCTCCCTCTCCTCTTTCCTTTTCTTTCTCGGCGTGAAATGTGTAGCTCATTAGTTTGCTCGCCACACCGTCTCACGTCAGTCTGTCCTTCACATCTCGCTGCACTGCTAAGAAGTCATTTACGCTGCTGCGTAACCCCACCCCCACCCCCTGCAAACCTCACCACCACCAGCCTCCATATGGTTTCATCATCATTTTGCAGTAGCACAAGAAAAAGACATCCTGGCCCCTCTGAAACCCCCCACCCACACCCACACACCCCCACACCCCCCCCCCCACACACCCCACCCCTCCAAGTCTGAACACTCTGTAAAACAGAAGAAACTGAAGGGTGAGGCTCATCTCTTGGAGGAGGCGGGAGGGGCGAGAGGATCAGGATTATCCCAGGCGTAATGATACAGCACTTTGATAGAACAGAAAGGGAAAGACACAAATAGGGGGGGGACGGAAAGGAAGGAGAAGGATGGGTGGAGGAATAAAGCTTAAGCTGCTCCCGAAAATCATGTAAATGCTGAGATAATAAAGGAACTGTTTGGCATTCATAGGAGTGGGTGGCGCATCAGTGGGGAGAAATCTAAGTGAGAATGTTGACTAATGCCAGCTCTCTCGCTCACTCTTCTGATTCAGAGCCAGCGGGGTGTCTGGGTATTTTTTAAGAAGGCAGTGGGCATGGTGAGGGGGGGGCTTCTAGGGTGGAGGCCTGGGAGATACTTGGCTTGAAAGTCAAACGTGCCCTGTGATTAGTTTAAGTTGCTCTGTAACATTTACTTATAAAAGTTTACTGTCAAGTAAGTTGGGTACTATGATGGTATGCCAAATTATATGTATTTATCTCTTCCTGCTTACTATGTTGAAGGTAATATTGAACTAAATATGAATTATATTTATGTGTGGGTCACGGGTACACTGTAAGACCGAATGGTAATAGTTTGATAAATGAAATGAGTTCCAACTACTTAAAAACCTGTTATAAGTTCATACACATTTATTTTTTTGAGTAGTTTGAACAAGTTTGTTTTTTCAAGTTATCAGTACTTGAATATATTGATTAGTTTCTAGCATTGCCCTCAAATAATTTGAGTTTTAACACTGACGTCACTTACGTGCCTACGTACGTACGTACCTACGTGCGCCACCTGTTTCTTTATGAAGTGCTGGCAACCATCTTGGATTCCTCGCTTCGAGTGCGAATGCCCGCTCATTACTCCGAAAGAAACTTGTGGAACGTTAATATCCGAACAGAAATAAAAACATTTGTCAAGGGGTTTTTTGCGGCATTGCCGTTGACGCTGGATAAAGGAGGGCATGCTATGGTATGTTACGGACTTTTGAACTGGAACAGCTAACGCTCTGCACTTGGCTAGCTGCATTTACCGCCTTTGCGGCATCTTCAGGAGCGCTTTTGTGGTAAGTTTTATTTTTTCTGAAACTATAGTTATCCGTTGTAATATGGGTTTTTATCGGCATAAATGTACAACTCTAGCAGCCATTTAAGAATTACATGCATGCGTCGTTTTATCCATGTCGGCTTGGCCCCAAAGTGTTTTGCATGAATTATGCTAATAAGCTCATATTTAGTATAACACATTATTAGTCCCTGGGACTAATAATGTATTAATAACTTTTCTAATCTCTTACTATTTTAAAAGAAGTCTTTAGAAGGCGTTTCTGGATTTGCAGATTATAAACTGACTTGTGGTTAAATTGTTGAATCAATATGCACTGCTGCGCTGCTTCACACTTAGCGCATACGTGGATATTGATATTGGCTAGCCCATTTGCTAACTGGTGGAACTTTGAAACTTACGTTTAGTTCTCTGGAGTTGTACATATTAAAACTGGGGCAGCAAAATTATAGGCACAGGACATACTTACAAAAGCAGTGAATAATCATTACATAATTACGCGGTAGAACTTGGTTTACATTGCAAATAGTTATGTATACTAAGTTGAAATGTAGAATCTTCTGAACTGTAAAATTGTTGTGCCTGGTCTCTATTTTAGGTTAGCTTAAGGGTGAATCCATCAATAATATTTTTACCAAACAGTTATTTTTTCGTTTTATTTTATTCTGATGCCCAGTGTTCATTAGTGAAAGACTTAGTTTTTTATCTGTCAGGGGCTGGGTCTGTGACACAGCATTTTGAGTTTATTTTGTATTTTTGCTTTCTTATGTTATATTGAAATGAGGTGAAGTTCTTGTATTGTTGTTATTATTAGTTAAGGTTTAGTTGAGTTCTGGGCTGGTTATGTTTCATCTGTGTCTCCTGGGTTGTGTGTCTTTTCTGTTCTCTGTGTAGTCTGTCTTGTCTTCTGTGTTTTACTGTTATGTCCATGCCAGGGCAGAAGTAAATTTTCAGGGGTGAAGATGCTGTTTACCTTGACCAGCTAAGACTACAGATTGTAGATGAAGTCGAGAAAAGTGAAAAGAATCCTGAACAAAGCTGATGCTCACAACTTTGGCCTTGCAATGCAAAGAGATCATCAATGATGACCTACCAGTAGGTCAGATCCTGGATTGCTGGCCTACTCTGAAATCCCAGTCCCAGGTAAGAATGTATATAGATGTATCTAACAAGATGTATTTTATATCAACTCCTGTTATCTGGCCTGTCTGAACAAATTATGCCTTTGGAGTGTAAGGATTTTGATGTATTTTGCAAAGATTTATAGACTAATTGAAACTTGTCAACACAAATGTATCCTGTGTGTTCAGATCTGTGCAGAATTCCACAGGATTACAAACCTCCACCTGAAGAACCACTTTTATGCTGTTGGACCAACATGCTCCCTGGCTCCAGAGTTTATTCAGAAAGAAAGCTGTTTGGACAGGGAACGTGTCTGATGTCCTGTCTCAGCTCTTCAGAAGCTATAATCTCCAGGTTAGTGAGTTTTTGTCTTGTTTTTTGAGCTTTAATTTGATCAATTTTTCAATTTTAATTACCATTCTTGACTAGGTTAGCCAATAATTTAAAATAAAAAATTTTCTTGTGATGTAGGAACAAGCTGATATCCATGCCCAAAGTGCTGGTGTGCTTCATGCCCTCTCTGCCTATTTGTACGAAGACACCTCTACCTTCATCAAAACATGGGATGTAAGTTTTGGACAAAGTTGTGAACAATATCTTAGTAGCATCCTTGTTTAGATTTCACAGACTGAAACCTTCACACCAACTTTATCCTGTGTCTCTTAGTTTTAGACTAGTTGTTTAGTCTATTTTGATGTTTTAAACCATATCACAGGGTTTTTACTTCACCATTTACGGGGTTTTAACAAGCAAACAAAAGACAGATCGTGATGTTTGAAAATGTTTTGGAAATATTCTTTAAAGATTAGATGTAAAATACGCAGAGGATAAATTCAATTGGTTTATTAGTTTATTACATAAGTTGAAAAAAAGTTAAACAAGTAAATAAAGAAACAACGTAAAAGAAAAGTAAACAAAACAAATCGGTAAATAAAGGAAAATGGTAATAAGAAGGGAAAAAAAAGAAAAGAGAAAACCCCAACAATCCCCTCTGAGCAAGCACTAGGCGACAGTGGGGAAGAAAAACTGCCTTTAAACGGGCAGAAACTTCCGGCAGAACCAGGCTCACGAGGGGCAGTCAACTGCCGGGACTGGTTGGGGTGAAAAAAGATGAAGGAGAGAGGGAAGAAGTGTTAGGAGAGAAGGGGAGAGGAGAGGTGAAAATTAAGATGGAACAGAGGTGGAGGGAGACGAGGTGACGATCTGCAGTAGAAAAAATAGAAAAAGTAGAAAAAGCAGGAGTGTCCCTCCTCCAGAAGAAGCGGAAACGTTTTTTCTTCTTTTCCATGAGCTTTTCCACGACCACTTTTTTCTCTAGGATGAGGGTTCTCAGCTGATCGGTTGTTTCTTCAACTTCCTTCTCAAGTTTCTGGCATCTTTGCTCCATTTCTTTTAATAGATTGCGCTTGTCTGTATTTTGCTGTTGTTTTTCCTTGTGCATCTTTTCTAACTGCTCATTTCTTCTTGTGATTTCTTGAAGCTTACGCTGCAGGTCTTCATTTATTTTCTCCTGTTGCTGCTTTTGCGCAAGCATTTCAGCGTTTTCGCGCTTCAAGTTGTCTGAGTTCAACAACGTTGTATTACAAAATTCGTTCAGTTGTAGATTTCTTCTCTCCAAGTCCTGGAGAATACGTTTTTTTTCTTCTTCCTGTTGCTCTTTCTCTTGAAGAAGCTCTTTATTTTTGCACTCTGTTTCATCCAGCCTGACTTTCAGCACTTCGAATTTTTTCTTTATGCCTTTGAGTTGGTCCTGCATTTGTGTGACCCCTTCCTTTTTCTGTCCGAGGATTTGTGCAGTTTGTTCCATAGCTTCATTAAGCATTCCTTGGAGCGCCTGATTCTTTTGCTCCATGTTTTGGAGATCCCTTTGCATCTCCCCAATAGTAGCATTCGCGCGTTGAAGCTGGGCAGACGTTTCTTTTAATTCAGCACTCTTTGTCTTGTTTTCCTTCATCAGGAACAAAATCTTCTGTCGTGCTTCACCAAACTTTCCTTCCCAGGCCTCACTAATAATTTTTGTGTAAGGCTGGCGTTGCTGTTGTTTTTCCAGCTCTTGATTTCGTGCTTCCAATTGTCTGCACTTCTCCTCCAGTTGAAGCTTCTCTTCTTCAGTTTGTTTAATTTTTGCATGTAGGTCGGAGTTTTCCTGTAATGTCCTTTGGACCGATGAGGCACCAATGGATCGTGTCATATCAGGCTTACCTCTTGAAGTGAGTGGCCGGCCAGACCTCGAAGGAGAGGCAGCAAGATTGTTTATTCTTTGTTGGCGTTTCCGTGGATACATTTTTAATCCTGTGCACAGTGACTCTGAAGAGGTTTACAAATACTTTCAAATGTATCTCTGGTCGAACGTTTGAAGGCTGCGAACAAACTGACTAAAACTTGCTGCTCCTGACCCCTATTTATAGAAAAACTTCAAAGGATCAAAGGCATGTCCTTGTGACATCATCACATGTCCTTGTGACATCATTTATGAATCAGATTGTCACATGACATTTTAGAATGGGGATGTTTGTTTTTTAAACCGTTTTCAAATTTAACCCTCTGTGGTCCAGGGTATAATTGGCCGTTCTTGACTATTTTTGATTTTACCTCTATATTTCACCTTTAAAATATGTTTTTCTTGCCTTATTTGGCACCATTATTTTCAGCACTACCATTGTCATGTGCATTTTGCATAACCACAGTATTGGCATATTAAAAAGGTTACCAATTATATTTCAGTGTATTAGCTGCACTATACTATTACTTTCATTCGGTTTTCCCACCTAATAATGCAGGATTTTCTTTTCCTTTTGTATGTTTTTTAATAAAAAGGCCTACTCATGTGTTAATCAAATTTGAATACTCTTAAAACATGTTGTGAAATTCTTTATTTCTAATATTGTAACCTTGTGCCAAAATTTCTGACATTATTCCCTATAAAATGTGGTGGATTTATGTCTTTGGGCTTTTTGTGTCAAAGTAACTCAATAAATTTGTAACTTGAATTTATATTTTCTGTATTTAAAATTTTTGAGTTGTATTAGCTTAAAATGGTTAACATTTTGAAACTAAAAATTAATTCCTTAAAGTTACTTGAGCTAGATTTGTACTTGAAACTCAAAATATCAAGTAGAGAGTACTAAACCAAAAATGTGGATATAACATAAAAACATTTATCAATGGTACTTAAAAATATTTATCTAAAGCTAATAAATAAAGTGTGTTTATTTAACTTTTATTTTTAAGTTTTAGTTACTTAAAATATTTTATGTAATCAGTTTCACCAAAAGTTTTGAGTAAAATTAACTTATTGGGTTTTACAGTGTACTTTGTGAATCACATGGCAAAGAAAATTTTAAAATACAATTTTTACAATGTATAATGTAAACAAAGTGAACTTCACCTTATCCAAGACTAGAAAGCGGTTTGCACATTCACTCATCAGTAATAGTCAATAATAAAAAATCAATCAAATCATGTACGACATGCTTACTATTAGAGCAGGGCGATATGGCCAAAAATATTTATCACGATATATATTTGAAAATTTGCGATAACGATATAACTGACGATATAATTGATGCGAGACAAAATACAACTCCACAACATTACTAGCGCAAAAAGACAACCTTCCATTTATTTTCACTTAAACAAGAAGCTGGTTTTTATGTACATTAAAGCTTTATAAAAATGTAACAGTGCAAATGCAAATTCCTTGCTGAAAGTTTAACCAAAAGGCATTTCCAGTAGAAATGGGCTGACATATCCTGAGCATAACCATGTATAATATCCACTGAAGTTAAAAAGAGGTGCTTTGCAACATTAAACTGCAGTGTGCAGTACGTATTTTTCGGACCATAAGGTGCACGGGATTATAAGGCACATTAAGCGAAACAAAGCAGTCAGATAAATCAAACTTTATTAAACTCATTCTTCTTGCTTCCTCCACTTCTGTACCATTGATTCATTAATGTTGAATTCTCTGGCAGCTGCTCTATTCCCATGTTGTTGCAGTATATTAATGACTAACCTCGTATTGTGGATGGATTATCTCAGTTGTTCTCCTGACTGAAGTTTGGTCCGTTTACAGCATCCTGCCATGCGATTGCATTTGTCTCTAACCATGAGGAACCTTCACGTTAACTTTTATAAGTGGAAAAGTGTTAGTGTTCGTCCTCCAGCTTCACCTGTTTATGTTATGCTAACATAGCTGTGTCGCTAGCGGATCACGTAGCACATCATTATATACCAGCTAGCCCAACTTCAGTAACCCTACAAACGTCACTGCTGTTTAGTTTCCTGTCTTCATTTATGTTGAGAAGTGATAGCAGAGCTGTACGTTTGATTTTTTTCAGAAATCTCTCAGTCAAGAACATGCAATATCATGCTTAGGTAACTAGCGAAACTAGCGAGCTAACTTCCGCTAGCTTCCTGCTAACTTCTAACTCCGTTAAATGTAATACTTTTGTTTTCATGGATGCCTGGAAGTTAAACTTCATAGTTACACCTGGTAAAGCAGCAATGCTGATCGTTTTATTAAAGATGAAAGAATTTAGACAGTTTTTAACTCTCAGTGATGCTGCAGTGTTCGTTTGACCTGAAGAGGGAGTTTAGGACCCAGATTACTCCCAGATTTAAGAGCATCTTAGTCCGACAAATACGACAATAACGACGGCCGCTTGCATGTTCTGCAAAAAAATGTGCTTTGTCGTGTATCTGACGGACAAACACCAAACCAGTTCCACATCACTGAAGTTGCACCATTTTTACAAACCAATTCTGGTTCATCTGTTTCACTCAACAATCGGCCATGTGCGTATGAAAACAAAGGCACTGCGCATGCGCGTTTTACTTACATTCTATCGCGATATTTCATTTTCCTATCATTGTCTAACATTATACCGGTATTACCGTGAACGGTATAATATGGCCCAGCCCTACTTACTATTAAGTCCAAGAAGGCAAGTGCTGATATGGTGCTGATAAAAATATGTGAAAATATTCTAATTGTCTGTGTTTCATTCATTGAAATGGCTCGTGTTATGGCTTAGCATTGTGTTTACTTCTTATATTTCATAAAGATGATGATAAAATGATAAACACTTATCTGGAGCAATGGAACTCGTCACTAACACCTTTTTTTTTTTTTTTTCCTGAATAAAAGACCTCATGCTCCACTTTTGAAATGCTCCTGGTGTGATATGAAATCCTTCAAAGAGCAGCACAAAACTCTGTTACACAGATGCAGAAACAGACATGGCAGATGCAGTGCACTCCTGAGGTAACCCCGGCAGAAGAAACTGCCTCTTTATCAGGTCAGTGCACTCCTGGGTAGCAGGTAGTGTTACACGGTGTTACTGTCTAAAACTAATTACACTCCTTTCGAAGCATTTAGCAGTAATAACTTTAAGTACTCATTTCCGTGTGACTTTATCAGCATCTCACATCTTTTTTACAGCATTGAGTTCATTGCAGGCATTCACGTATGGAAGCTCTCTTATAGTTCAGCACTTCAACCAGGTTGAGGTTTGGACTTTGGCCGGGGCTTTCAGCACATGGTTCTGTTTTTTTCAGCCATTCTTAGGATAATTGTTTTGTTGCATGACTCAGTTTCATCCAAGCTTCAGCTGTTGGGGAGATCGCCTCACATCTGACTCTAGAATATTTATACAGAGGAGTTCATCGTCGACTCAATGGCTGCAAGGAATCAAGGTCCTGTGGCTGCAAAACAAGCCCAAATCATCACTGCTCCACCACATTGCTTTATCATTGTTATGAGGTATTTGTGCTGATGTGCGCATATATTTCTGCTTTTATAGAGGTGCTCACACCTTTTGGTAATCATTTAATCGAGTGTGCATTTGATTAGCAATTCCTGGCTGCTACTTACCCTCCTAATTCCTATGGAAGGGGTGTACTTCCACAGACTTCACAGAGTTTCCTTTTCACACGACTGTATCTTTGTCTGCTGCTGTGATCTCGCAGAGCTGAGAGAGTGGCAGCAGAACATATTTAGAAAGTTTATTTAATGTAACAATACTGCATGGAAACCATATCCCATATGATTAAAATGTACTTTAGATATCCAGCATAAAATCACTTTTTTACAAAGTGGATCTCAGTGTTTTATGTGATTTGCTGTTGCTTAATGATTTTTGACATTTTAGCTGAATGAGATGGAGATAATGCAAATGATTTGTTACCCTGCTTAGGAGTTTAGTCGCGTAATTGCAATTTGTTTGGTTATATAAAAATATTACATCATTTACATGTGTGATCTCAAAGGCCCTGCACGCCCACAGTCTGCCCACACAGGCATTTTCACTTATGTTACCTAATAAGTGATGTGCTTGATTGACATTCAGCGATATCGCTAATTCCCGGTACAGCTTCACTCAATTTACACCAGAATAGAGGTCTAAGTGAAAACACCTGTGTAGGTGTGCTGGGCTTTTAAACTGCAGAGTAGCCCAATGTGCATAAAATATATGTAAATAAATGAAAGATGGCGTATAATAAGAGTAGAAGTGTAAAGAAGTATAAAAAGGAAAACGTTCAGTAGTACATTAGTTTAGTGCTAGTGTATTAATGTTTTCCGACTGAGATTAATTATCGTCCATGCTTTATTTCTGCTGCTTTCACATGAGACTACAACTCCAAAACAGAGTTACAGTTATTAAAGTTTGTCATTTTGTAATTAGTTTTTATTTTTGTCTTTTTTTTCAGTTTTGTTTTAATTCAATTTAGTTCCAGTTAGTTACCAGGGTTAGTTTTTAATGTTTCAGAATGTTTAGTTTTACTTTTGTTTCTTATGAATTTTTAGTGGGTAGTTTTAGTCTCATTATGTTTACGGGGATATGCCAGAGGCAAGATTTTGAAATATTAGTTGACTCGCAGTCTTGTAGAGATCCAAAGTCTCAATAAATATGTCCTATATACGCTTCATAAGGCAAGTTGGGATCATTTTGCTTAATTAACAAATACTAAAACACTGCAGGGTCTTCACTGAAGGAGAAGGGCCATCTCTAACAGCATAGAGGCAGTGGAAAAAAGGCGTCAGGTGGCTCTGGATAAAGAGAGCAAGCAAAGGCTTGATCAGCTGGGTCACCTGAGTGAAGGTGTCTGATGTTCGAGAGACCCAAAACACCCGATGACCTCAGGACACACCACAGAGGATGTAACATAGCTTGGCATCTGAAGGTGTGTCATTACAATAAACAAAGGCTACTTCCTCTATATGTATTACCGTATTTTATTTTAGTTCATTTTCACAGCTCGTTTGTCAGCTTTTGTTTTTAAACGTTTGTTTTAGTTAACTAAGTTTTAGTTGTTAGTTAAATTTTAGTTATGTCTCCAGAAATACCTGTTAGTGCACTTTCATCGAGCAGTGAAGTTGTTCTACATTTCTAAAATGTGGCTTAGATTTTGACCCCTCAGATTTGATCCACCTCGCCATCGTGAAATCTGGTGACGTTGCGCCAAAAACTTCTACTCCAGCATTATTCTGTAGTTGAGAGATGCACTCACCAGGGGAGAGAAGCAGCAAATATACACATCCAGTCTCTCACTGTGCCATGATGAAAAGCAAGGAGCATCTGCCTTCTGTTGTTTTAATCCCCAAGGACGTTTTAAAAAAATGCCTCACTTTTTAAACCTGATGTGAATTATATGGATCACCTGAAGAAATGAGATGCTGGAGGATCCTTCGCAACACGTGCAATCTAATTACTCCATCTGAATCAAGATGAAACTTCTGGGGCCAAAGTGAAGTGCCCAAAGTGCACATCCTCTAATAGCTACTTAAATGAGTCAGCCCCATAGACTCCAATGTAAAAACTTAAAATCATAAAGCGTGTTTACAGAAATGGTTTTCGCCTCTATAGATAGCTTCCTCCTTCATTACAAGTGTACACTTGATCCCATGGGATCCTCATAGATTATTCCATGAGGCTAAAGCAAGAATAATCCACGATGTCCCATAATGCCACAGTCAAGTTAAAAAGTTTTTCTGTGGGTGTTGCTGGTATTGATTTCAACCTGCTAAAGGATATTCTGAATTTGTTTGATCTACTCATAAAATAATTCATTCTCATTCTTATTAAATGATGTGTTTTGCTATATCACCAAGACATTAAATTTCATAACAGTCTGAGTTTTATTACATTTGAACTAATTTATGTTTTAACCATTTTTACAGTTTCCACACTTCAAATTTAGCTAACTAAGTGATTGTAAACTCGCTAAAAATGTTTTTATCATTGGTTGCTCTCCATTTTTGTTTATGTGCTGAGTAAATATTTATTTTGTTTGATTTGGATTTTTCCAAGCAGTTACAAGGCTCATGAATTATGTATTATGGCTGCACTTAAATTCTGTTCTGGCATTTCACGCAGGTGCATGCTTGTATTTTTAATATCAAGTGAAACTACTTGTGATTCTTCCAAGTGTAGATGAAAATGCATGACAAAATTACGCTCCTCATATTCTTTTGGTGTCGTAACAGTGCCTCTCTTTATAGCTTCCAAGTTTTATATAGTGTTTCCTATATTGTCCTTTATTGTCATTTCTACTGGAATGACTACTGTCGATAATGGACCTGATTTTCATCATTATTCACTATCAAAGGTTAAAGTGGATTTGGCAGGTGGGGGAATTCTAATATCAAGGGGCAAAGGATTACACAGTAAATTTAATTTTGGTTTGTTTTTTTAAAACTATATTTCAAAAAACAAGAGTAGTGCTGCTACGCCAATATTAAATGTTTTAATATTGGTGGGGTGGATTTAGGGTTCCAACTGATTTCAATAAGGTATAAGCAGATGCTTCATGCTTTTTATGGCTGATTTCAACTCCTATACAGTATAATGCTAGTATAAAAGGTAGAATTAGGTGAGTGAAATGAATAAAAAGATGAGATAATCATTAAATATTATAACTGATAATATATAAATTCATAACAACTCTTAATGTACACTAACACTGACCATGAAGAGGCTGCTTTGTAGCAGTCCAGCATACTGAATCACACTGTAAACTTCACCACAGTGCTGCAAACTAACCACTGTAGCCTGCTCAAAACAATCCTCAGTTTCTCTTGCAAGACGTTTCACAGAGACATAATTCAGCAACACATTGTGTATATACAATGTATATCCAATATCTGGTTTAAAAGCTCTCAAAAAAAATGCAGACATTCTATGTAAGCTTGAAACTTCCTGTTTATTAAAATTCACATCCTGAGCTATGTTTGAAAATGTTTGTCTTTCAATGGACAACACAGCAGCTGTATCTTTAGCTAATACACATATTTTGTGACAAGCTGTGCAGAAACAATTTGTGTGTTTGGAGATTTTTTGAGTTGATTGAAAAGTTAAATTTGCTCGCTCGTCTTCTGTGCTAGATGCTAAAGTACCCCAGCTTTATTTACATCTGCACCATGAACGCATCACAGGCATGAGAAGGAAAAAAGGGCACGAGCGTGCCGTGGGATGTCATTATTTTAATTGTTTTCTTATTACTGAGCAAGTGTCGCCACTGGAAGCAACACCGACCTACAGCACACAAAAAATTGGGCTCACTGGACAGTAATATGCATTAATCAGATTTAAATGCTCATTAATTTAAGGTGTCTGGACGCCGTTCTGGGCCACTTTAACCCCTGTTCATTTACTGGTCTATACATAACATTTCCTAATAATTCTGCTTCTCTCTTGCAGAGTAAAATCATTATGGGAAAATCGTTAATCCCCAGAACAACCAAAGGCTCCTGTTTGGAGTGTGGCCACAAGTACTTTTGAGCGCTTAGAGACCTTACATTCTACGACTCTACGATACATATACTGTATAACTGAAGAGAAGTTTTGGTTTCAGAAGATTCATAGCTCATTAACTGTATTTATTGCTTTCCCGCAGTGGAAGGCACTGCACTGTATTCAGCATCAACAACCCTCTTTATTACTGGCAAAAGACAGGATTTATGCGCTTTGTGTTATAGCCTGATTCTGTCAAAAACCTGTCACAGTAGTGGCTAGTCCACCCAGTATTACTTTCCCTAATCTTCATGTTTACAATAGTGCTGGGATTTTTAAATTATTCTATCTATATTATTCATACAATGCATGCATAATTTTGGGCAATATTGTGTTATGTGATGGCTTCTGGTTAACCATTTTCATACATGCACTGCAGCCGGAGCTTTTCAAGGCGTTAGGTAATGTGTGTGAGAAGTGGACATCCAACAATCTTTAACTAACCAGCTCTGTAATACAAAGTCTATATGTGGTCCAATTCTTCTGATGTGAGGATAAAAAAGCACTTGTCTGTAAATTCTTCGCTAGCGGGTGGTCATCCTGTGACTTGCCTCCTGCATGCGCTGCTCAGTCAGCACGCTCGTCTAAACAACAGTGAGTATTTTGAAAAGTCAGAACTCCTGCTATGTGCTGCATGTGATAAAAAGGCATTTTTGGAAAACCTCCGGCCCTGACTGATTCTGCTGTTGTCTGATATTCTGGGATATACTTCTCTTTTGAGCTTTATCCACTTTTAACTTTTGATCACAAATACACGGTTAGGTGGTGAAGGCCACAGCAAAAACCTTTAAGCTTTTGCCTCGATGAAGTAGTCTGTTGTGGATTTTGAGATGCGTTTACAGTCCTTTAGTAGAGGTCATCCTTTTTTCGTCTGCAGCTTTAGCGCGGAATGATGTCTGACTCAAGAATCTGCCGCTATTTAATTGAATCCATTCTTTCTCTGCAAGTGGAATGTAGCCACAAGCTACAACACAAGCCCAAGGCATGATCCATCTAACACCTGCTTAACACTTAGAGAGCTATTCTTTCTATATAAAGAACAGCTCTCCATTTATCTACTGTGGCTCAAAATTTATATTTCAACCGTAAAGTCTGGAAAACTTCCAAAGTGCATCAAGCTAGTTTGCGGGTGCTTTGAACAGCATTTCTAGCAAGCCAAAGAGCAATTCTCATAGATTTATTTCATATTTATATATCACCAAATCATAATAATAATTACATGAAAGCACTTTGCATTAGAGGACAAATAATTCATAAATAATCCATCAATCGTCTATGGGATTAAGAACCAGAATGGGCATAAAACTTTCTCTAACAGAGATAAACCTTCAGCAGCATGAAGCTCAGGGTGCTGGTTGAAGGTGAGAGAAAAGTGGACCTCCATTTACAGCCATTTCTCACTTACATTACTGATTTTAAACATATATGTGAAAAAATACATCATGTTGGCTTCTCTTGCTTTATGGCCATCAAGTATTTTAATTGTGTGCTAAGCAGCTTAGAAGAGCCCATGGCAGCCGATTGGTCTGTCAAGGTTTGAGAAGTATTGAAAAAGCCCTGAGCTTTCTATCACTTGGCTTTTATAATGACGACTATAAACAAGCCAGGGTGATAGCAAGGTTAATAAATTCTGAAATGTTGGTAAAAGTAATCATTGATACCTTAGACCTCATATCTCTTGAAGAGCCTGAACCTTCGTATGAAATTTCAACAATTTTGCTTAAAAAGTCAAAAAATGTCATTTTCACTTTTCATTTGTTGTGAATGACCAGAGGTGACCAAAGTTTTGCATGTCACTCAGTATGACTCAGGATGACTGGAGGGGGGCATTACTATAAGTGATGAGGTGCCCCTATTAAAGGGGATACTCAGTGCATTGCAAAATGTCAAGGGCAAGTATGCCTTAATGTGAAAATGAAATAGCCATGTGCACACATGCTGAAGTTGACATTTTAGTGGAACGCGGTGACCGGTCAACCCCAAATACAACCTTTTACCACTGCCAGGGTCCAATCACATTAGGGTTATTTTTGGCTCTCGCTCCTTTTACCAGAATTCATCAGCTTTTTGTCATTTATACATATTCCCTTCCTTAAACAACAACCAAGAAACCTTTATCTTTTTTGAGGGGAGGGGATGGCAAACGTACATGCATCCTCCAGGTACAGTTTTCTTCTCGCTCTCCATCACCTTGGATGTGGATTTAGAAAATGAAAACTCGGATTGCTCTATCCATTGCTGTCTTTCACGGTTTTCTTTCTTTCTGGTTGTTGACAAGGATGATAACAGAGTGATAGCGGTGCCTGCAAAATAAAACAATAAAATACATATATATTGTATACGGGCTTATGAAGGACAGCATGAACTAGAATTAGGTTACCCTGATTGTGACAGATGATCGTTGTTCTGCAGTCTACCTGCTCAACAAAGAGAAATGTTTATGACTGCCAGTGTGTATGTGTGCGCTCCCAATCAGGCATGCATTTTTGCCTCTGCATATGAGTGGGAGTCATTTTGAGCCACAGTCTGCATTTTAAAAGAGAAATAATAAAGGCAAGGAGGACAGAAAGGAATGAACAGGAGGGGGGGGAATGCAGTAATGGGAAATCTGTCTGATGTGGAGTGTGTGTGTAAGCAGATTGCTATATTTTATGTAAATCTTAACCTTTTTCCCAGTGCTGGCTATCAGGCTTGTTGACAGCATGGTGCGTATCTGTCCTGTTGACAAGACGAGCAGAGAGACACAGAGGGAGAAAGAAAGAGAGAAAAGACCTGTCACCGCTGACTAATTACACTGCACGCAAACAGTTGAGTCCTCTGTTTACATTTGGACAGCCAAAAGAGGCCGAGATGAGCATCATTAATCAGATTTTCTATTGCGGCCTACCGACACACACACGCACGCGTGCACACACACACACACACAAACAAACACGTGCACCCATAAGATTACAAATAACCATCACTCATGTTTTTGATTTGACATGAAGGACGGTCTTTCTAATTACCAAAGAGTTTGCAGTGATGAATCCTGATAAAGAGTGCAACCAGATGTGGTTAATCAAAACTCTCCGGGCTTTCTGGAAGCCGGCACAGGGCTGAAAAGCTGCAGCCCGAGTCAAGTGGGACACGGGCCATTTCTCTCAAAATCATTTGCAAACTGTTCAATTAGAGAGATATCATAGGATTTGATATGAATATAAAATAAACAGATTTCCCATGGACTCGCATGATGTGTGAAGCTATTGACTGCTTCTTCAAAACTTCACTGAAAGATCGGTCATCAAGGCCCGAGGAAAGCTTTGTGATTTTCCAATCAGCATCTGTAAAAGGATAATAAGTGCCAAATATGAGCAGGAAAAGTTCACTTAGCTTGTTTAGGATATGAATGTAATACTTACTCCTAATGCACTTGTGCAAAAAGGAAAGCAACCTCCATTTGAATTTAAATTCTGCTGTTTTTGTTCGACTCAGTGCTGAGCTAAAGAAATCATATTTATCTGTTTGTGACTCATTAATGCTGGTGATAACTAATGACATTTTTGCTTTTGAACATCTAATAGGGAACAGCAACAGCAAGGTAAGGCAGATGATGGGGAAGGATGAGAAGGAAAGGGAAAGAAGAGAAAATGAAAAAAGAAATCAAGGGGGTACAGCAAGCAAAGGACTCCCCTGCCTTATCGTTTTAGCCATGGTCCACTGGTCTTGGGTGGCTTCAGGTCATCTGGCACTAACACACAGAGCCTCAAGGAGAGATACACAAAATACACACTTAGACGAGGGAGAGTAGATAAAGGAGAGGGTGAGGATGAGGTAAAAATGGGACAAGTTGAGAGAGAGATGCATTGAGTGTAGTTAGTGCTGCAGGATGGAAGGCAGAGGTTTTGACCAGGGTCATCCACGAGGACAGAGGAAAGATGGAGAAGAAAGAGCAGGATAAGATGTGACCTCAGTGACTCATATCTGGAGAAGTTGTTGCAGATAGATGCAATGAAGCTACAGACCAAAAACAAAAAACAAAACAAAAAGAAAGGCGGGGGCTCTGCATTACATGAAAATATGAAAATACAAATCAAAATATTAAGATTTTAAGAAGGCTGCTCGGCACTATACTGTACGTAGATAAAGCTCATAGAGAAATAGAACAGGAATGCTGCTTGTTAGTGATCACAACCATTAAATTGTGTGATTAGAGATTATTAGAGTGTAAACCCTAAAATTGCTTGCATTGTATTTTCATCGTCATTACACACATCTGCACTTTATCTCATATTTCACTTCATGCCCGACAAAGGGCGGTGCTTTCATTAAATTAAAACAAGAGATTCACATGACATTAACTTCGTAATGCCTTTGTGAGCCACAGTATTAGAAAACAACAAGTGAGCTGGGAGCAAACATAAAACAGGAAGAATATGATCTATTTAAACATTTCACATTTGCCCGTCATGAACTTTTGGAACCAACATGAAGAACAACCAGGTGGAAACTAAATGAAGTGGATTAAAAATGTAGGCTCTACCTTACAATATAAAGCGCCTTGAGGCGACTGTTGTTGTGATTTGGCGCTATATAAATAAAATTGAATTGAATTGAACTGAACTGAACTGAAAGATGATGCAACTTCGATATCCAGGTTGTGTACCTTAAAAAACTATTGGCGGAAGCTTCAATGACACAGTTTGGAATTTTGCAAGCTCACGGCACATAAATATGTGTATATGCTATCAATATTAGTGTGTGTTTGTGAGTGTTTGTTGACAGGTTACAGGTCTTCTGGGCCACTGAGCCGGACAGACAAGACGCATCACTGTCACCTCACGGCTGGTCTGACAGGCAGTCAGGACAGCCATGACAGGCGTAAGTAACACGTTTTAGCTTGGACGCTAACTCACTGTGACATATGCTCTCTAACACACAGGCTTCCCACTCACCACTTACAGCTTCTGCACTAATTATAGGCATCGCACAATGTTTTCGCTGAAATGACAGTGATTTAGAAGAAACTTGTTGGAATGATGCCTCCTGCACATTTGTCAGAGATGTACAGCCAGTTTTGTGCTGCGGCATATTTCTCGGTTTCTTCTGTGGAAGTCTTGGGCACAATGCCTCGCATGTATTTGTAGGAGCAATTGCAGAGATGACAAATGAGGTATTTGGAGAACAAAGATGTTATAAGTCATCGGTTTCTCTTAATCATGTCGCAATTTAGGAGAGAGGGGAAAAAAACCTCTATATGCTTTGTTGTTGTTAAACTCAATCAACATAGATAATGTGATCTAATGGGCTCTATCATCATGCAAATGCAGAGAAATCTATGGAAAATACTTTTCCTCTCATACAGTTACGTGTATCATTAATCCATGATGTTTAAAATGTGATGGGAGTAATTTTGTGTGATAAAGTTCTCGTTGGATCAGATAAACCTTCCTGCATTTTCTGCTCATTTCCAAATTTTAAAGAAAAGCTGTTGATCATGTCCGCCAAGTGCTGCATTTTGGCCTACCTAATGGAGGAATCAGTGAATGTTTGATTGATGTATCACGTTTTAACACTGATTTTAAAACAGAAACATTGCTAGTAGCTATAAGTCTGGACCTCCTTGTCTCTTCTGGGCCAATGTGTAGAGCTGTCCATTGATATAGTTCAGACAGACATTGCTGCTCTGCCTTGAAATATCCATTAGTTACACACGAACAGTTTTTAAAACAGGATCTGCCGGAGCTATTGTGTTTATAACCCAGCATAAGATTTAGTTTTTTGTAACCATTCTTTAAACAACCATTCAAATCACTGATGTTTAAAGATGTGAGGCATGTGGATGCTTGACTCAAATGACTTTTTTGCAAAGAAAGTCCTTCATAATATTCTATAGATCGTGTTTACTGGAATAAATAAGCCTTTAAGACTGACTGCATGTTAGAAATACTTGAGGTAAATGATACTTCAAATTCAATAAAAAGGACAATGTATCATTCTCTAGTGTTATGATGTTTTCCCTGTGAGAGACTTCAATTGTTTGCCACAAATGATATTTGGTTTTTTTCCCAATAGAATTTGTTCTTGTTGCTTGATTTACCAAATAATTGAGACGTCAATGTGTATTATTAAAAAGGTCTGGTAACTCGTGAAGGGAAATCACGCACTAACACACAAAGCATCAGTATACGCAATGTGCAATGCATCATACAATACATAAGCATATAGGATGCACATTAGGACACTGCAGGAGCTCATGGGGAGCAATTCATTGTTCAGCTTGAAAATTTGGATTTTACAAACGCACACACGTGCTATTGTGTATGTGTGTTAGTGTGTGTGTGTGTGTGTGTGTGACTGTGTACAGCTGCGTGTAAAATCTCCTCATGTTGAATGCAGACTTTTCAAAGTAATGAGCCATTTGTTTGTGGGGAGATTAAGTGAGCTCGCAGCTGTTACCATCTCACAACTATAATTTTGGTGTTCTTAATTGAAATTTTGCACAGTCTGTTATGTGCCAAGACACATGAAACAAATGAAAACCCATATTTGGGTTTTGACAGTCTGAAGCCCGTGAGCTTTTTTTTTTTTTTTTTTTTTTGATTTTTTGTATGTTGTAACTGCAAAAACAACAGTTGCTCTGCTGTCACTTTATAAATATTGATTGTTTAAAATGTGGAGTTCTCCTTGGCTGCAGCTTTTTCTATG